GAGAATTTGGTATTGGATTAGCTAACCATCCCTCGATTGATATTTTTCTTTATTCTCATCACTTGTCCACTTATTATATTTCATTGATATTGTTAAGGAGAAATTCTGTCTTGGTCACTCATGGGAGTTAAAGAGTTAATAGTCACATATTTTCACTAATCTTCCACAGCTCCTTATAACTTGGGTTTCCTGTATTTTTGTGTGGAAAGGCCCAAGTTTTAAATTTGGTCACGGTCGTCGTTTATCTTCCAAAGAGGCATTTCCAGCGCACCAGCGCTGATTATCTAATTGAATCAATCAGCCAATGACCTTAAGAGTAAATGTCAGTAAAAATCAAGGAAAATTCAAAAAACGTGGCCACGGTCAAAAAATCGATTTCGCTCATACTTTGTCAGTTTGAAGGTCTAGGTAAGTAACTGAAGGATATGAGGTTAGTTTTTTGAAATATTCCATATAACGGCAGAAAACCACGAAAAACGGTCACCCTACCGGAAGCTCGGATTTCACCTGGCGGAAACTCGAAATTTTACACTTTTCAGCTTCTCGCTACACAGACGTTTACATAGCTGTGAATCTTTCTTAAGTATAATTGAATACATTGATTCTTCCTTAGTCGAACCATGGGAATTATTTTTATCTCTGCTTATTTGTGAGCGAACTGAGACCCGATTAAGAAGACACACTTTTCTCATTTACGCGAAGGTGTAAAATAATCCAAACTCAGCGACGAAAAAAGCTGACCGGTAGTTCTTCAAATACTCTGATATTATAACCAAAGACAGTTCAGTCATTGATCTTTAGGTCTACGGTTTTAAATCTTTAGGATCTAGTAGCACTTTTGCATGAACGCCGATCAAAATTCGATAAAATTCCAATTGAGCGCCTTTGAAATCTACAACTCTATATGGCAAAGCACTATTGAATAAATTAACTCCTCGGCCAAAGTTTGTACATAAAACATAAGGGTTTTGCTTTTTTAGCGGTTTGAAGCGTTTTAAAAATATATATATAAATGTTAAATATTGTCTACACAGGTAAAACAAACTATGAAACACCAAAATTACCACGAGCTGAAATTAAATCTCACAGGCTCGCTCCCTAATCTGCGTCAGGCACGAGCGACTTAGCTACAATTAGTACAGTAACAAACAGATATTTACATCCGTTGATTTTAGATAAGTCGTATTTTTAAAGTATCTTACTCAAAGATGTGCCAGGTTTCCCAGTTAACTTGCTGAAAAAAAAAGAAAACCTTTATAGTAATTCTAGCTCAATTAGAATTGATTTTATTTAGTATGAGAAGTTTTGTGCCGTCGAAAACCAATCGGAAGTAACTGTTTCCACGAAAAGCAAATATTGCATCGTTCTCTAAATAAACAAATCTACTTAACCATATAACCAGAGTATGTTGTTGGCGAAGTTAATAGACATACATAACAACGACTTCTTGCTCGTTCTTGAATATTGTCGATGGGATTTGCGGCGCAGACGAACGCACTTGCTAAGTAACTTCCAATGGCTAATTTCTATCCTTACTCAGCTTTCGTCACACTGCTCACGCTGTGCAACAAGGATATAAAACATCGCACGAAGTCCTAAAAAACTCTCCGGACTTGAACCAGAATTGATTTTAGCAAGATTGCGTGTTTTTAAAAGCCAACGAGTTTATTGGAGATGACTACCCGTACCTTCTCATCGTGTCACTTAGGCATAACCTGACACGATGTCGATAGTTTCGACTCCTGATGGCCGAGAGCACTCGGATTTCTTTTTTTCCGAGTACGCCTGTGTCACTTACTGAATAATACATCATTCTCATTTATTCACCAGGCTTAAAAATATTCCATCACATTTATTCCATTGCGCGTATGCCACACATGACATTCCAATCATTCCAATCCTAGCAGTATGCAGGATGTTTGTCCCATGAAGCACTCGGATTTTTTTTTTCCGATTATGCCTGTGTCACTTACTGAGTAATACATCATGTTCAAAAGTATTAATTTATGCACCATACAGGAAGTTGTTTCGGGTCACTCAGCAAGAGCTGTGAAAAGTAGCCGCACTGGAATAGGAATATATTTTTTCCAATCCATGAAGATATTTGACCTTTCGTCTTTGTGTTATATCAGAGACGTCCACACCAAGTTCATCGCAAAATACTGCGCAGCATGTCCACACTCAGTGACATCAGCTTTTTCTTGCCCATGCGCATGAGTTCACAGATGTTGTAACCTGACGACGATACAATGGGGTGCTGAAGGGAAATCTCTCTCATCACTTGCGCACAGATTTCAGATTGGATTACCTGTCCTTGTGATGCTCTGTCATCTTCTCTAGTGGTCTCTTCGTCCGACTCTTCCCGGTTCACTGTACTGGGAGGAAGCCTCTTCTTTGCTGCCAGTCGTGAGAAGAATCCAGTGATTTGCTGTCTTGTTAGAACTTCTTCTGGTAGAAATCGACGAGCTCCTAACTCGTCCCTTGAAGATCTCATCATTTTTGAGACTTCATTCGGATCTGCTTTCCTTCCACTCTGCTCGCCAATTTCAAATTGTTGTTTCAAAAATTCGTTCTGTTTTTGCGTAAAACGTGTCTTCTTTGTGATTGTCTTCAGTGCCCATCCCATTGTAAGGGGCGAAAAGCATTGGCTGTTTTGTTCTTCACATTGTAACTGCACAGTGGAAATCCTGCTACCTTCATCCATTAGCTTTGAAGCATATCCTCGTTTTGCTTTGTCATACAGCGTTTCCTGTTCAGGTAGTCGCTTGTGTTTCCCCGTGTCTAGATGTGCTTGTAATGATACAAAGCGGCTGTATGCTTTAATGCACCCTTCCTCGGGGCATGGGAAAAGTGGCGAGGCTTGCTCGTTTTCACCATCATCATCTTCTTGTTCTCGGCTATTGGCATCACTGGCTGCGTTTGGATCACTTGCAGATTTTTTATTTACATGTCTGTGTCTCACCTTCTTGAAAGATGGCTTAGTACTCAATTTCTGCGATGGGGGATCAACCACTTCAAGAGTTTCCGGGACCTGCAAAACTCCTTCCAACTGAGACCACGATAGCAACTTTCCAGGACCCACATTAAATGCCCTACACGCTCGTATTCCGTTCTCCTCATACTTGAAGTTGTTGAGTAAGCTTACACCATCCCATTTGACGTGCCGAGTGCTTGACGGGTTGAATGTAACGTAACTAGCCTTAGCGCAAGATCCTGGACCAGACTCTATGGCTGTTTTGAGCTGAATCGCTGTTGTCACATCATTGCCCTCGTTTACATATCTTCCAATGTCTCCTTTAATAGTCGCTGCTTGGCGGTCGCATATTCCTTTTCCACCTTGAGGATCGGAAAAGTCGTTCCGTTCCACGCCCACGCCAGCAATGTCGCTTGCAAATTTTGCTGAAACGATAGTGTATCCGCTGTGGTAACAGCTGGCATTATCTTGTTTATAAAACGCCCTTTCTAATTCCGGCATTTCCTTCTTCAGCGAAACAAGACAATCCTGCATTATCGATACCACTACAGCACTGTCTTGTAAACAGTTCTGAAAGACATGTACGAATGTTTGAGACTCAAACTGCTCGCCTTCTTCCGACTTCCTAATAGCAACTGTTATGTGCCATGGTAAACCGCGCTTAGCAAACCAGTATGATTGCGGCTCTCGAAATTTTCGTGGCATAAATTTCATTGCCCAATCCTGCACTAGTAACACGTCGCATTTGCTCTTCATTTTAGCTAGAACAGAACATTTGGCCTGATCTTGGTGAACGGAGCGCAACTGGTGGGCTTTCCAGCTCATGATATTATTTCTGGCCTGCTTAACAGCGTGTAGCATGTCCGATTTCTGCCCTCGTTACAAATTGCACTTGAACACTCACTCTCCAAGATGCTTAGAACTTCTTGCAGCTGGCAACACTGTGCACATGTTTCGTTGTGTGAATGACTGCAGTGGCCTTGGAAGTCAGAGTCTGTTGAGTCACTTAAGGCGTAAGACCTACAATGATCAGCAATGCTCGAAGACTCAACCACATGGACCTGAAACAAGCCGAAGACAACAAAAACGTAAACAATTTCAATCACCGCATTTCCTCCAATAAGCGAGCTCCTCTTAAGTAAATCGCCCTTGGAACAAGCGCCCAACCTCTATATTAGGAGCCCCTTCCTGACTCGATCCAGCGCCCGGGCACTTAGCGGAGGAAATACAGTATTTATATCGTCCTGATCTTAACTACTATTTCTATAAAACAATTACATTGAAAAGGCCGACGGTCCCCCTTTGTTTGCAAAATGTATAAATATAACTTACAGGTTATCGACAATAATTCCTTCCTTAGTTACGCAAGAGAGGACCTGGAACTAGTTCAAGTATCAATATTATGCATTTTCAAAGATTTGAACTTTAGGAAAATAATTTGCCTGTGTTGTTGCATCAACTTTCTGTCAGTTTTGCGCCTTTATTTTGAAGTACTTCATAACAAACCGTGTAATGAAATAAATCAAATACCTTGTAGTCACTTTTCAGGTATCGCTTTGATGAGCGTAACTGTTGCTTCATTTCCCTGGCCCACACTTCTGTTTTCCACAATCAACCAGTTTATCGACCACTTTGTCCAGGTCATCAAATGCCTCTGCTCCTTGAGATGAAAAGTTATCAAGTCCTTGAAAAGACTTCCTAACAGACGCAGAACACTCATCTAGCACTCTATGCAGTGTTCGCCTGCTCATGGGCTCAAAACCTCTTTCACTGCAATATTGTTGGTACTGTTGAACAATACGCTCCGGAATCATCATTCTGATTACATTTGGTGTTTTAATAACCTCACCGGTTGATAACTTCAAAAGCCTTTCGCCAAATGGAACATCTTGAATCACATGTGAACTTGTGATAAATGAAATGAAATCTTCCAATTTTCCTTGGTCAACTTTCATTCTCCTGTTTTCTTGGCGAGGAATCGGTTCTGCTCTTCCATGAAGCAGGGTGTGGTGTCAAAGCGGTAACTTGTCAGGGTTGGGATAAATTCTTGCACCTCTTTGAAAGACAACTTGTCAGCCAGGATTGAGAGTATTTGCCGACGGGTACTCCAGTGTTGAGCGTTCAAATAACTCTCGGCAAACGCTTGAAGAAGCTCCACTTCCTTACAACTTTTCCCGCCAGTTGTTCTTCGATTCACTTCGCGCTCACATAATTCCCTCCACAAGCAATTCGAATCTTCAGGAGCAAGGACTTCCATTACTGCTGAAGCACACTGTTCAGCTTTTCTCAAATAACAGCGTTTAGTACGGCTTTGAGCTACATTCCATGGTACTGATAGTACGTGGCGGACTGGGCTGGTGTCACGAAGCTGTAGAAAGTGATTGAGCTGTTTCAGGGATTCACCTTCCACATAGTTTATGTCATCTTCGCTTTCTTGCGAATCTTCGTCTGGCACGTAAAGGCTCTCTCGTTTAGATCTACCTTCTTTGCATTCAGTATCAGTGATCGGTACAGGAAGGGAAATATCAGTGTCAGCTTCATGATCGACCTGCAGTGCGAAAAAGTTAAAATATTTTCTATATACAATGAACGAAAGATTCGCCCACGATTCGTGGGCCAGTTCGACATTTCTAGTAAAGTTAGTGTTAAAACACCTATGACTTCCTTATATCATTCACGAACCCTGCTTCCGACTCTGGATTACCAAGTTTTCCAGTTAAACTTTAAATTAACGAAATTCTAATTAAGAGCTGTCTAATTTCGGCTGCCATGGACACATATCATAGGACAAGTAATTTAACAGTCCTCGACACATGCTTTTTTAGATTTCAAATGGTGTAATATAACGTATTTAGGTTTTGATGTACAAATTAATTTTCTTACTTCTGCAGATACACAATGGAGAGGGTTGGCCACCCATCCAATCTACATCCTCCTCTCTCCTGCCCCCTCGCCTACCTCCCACCCCCCCCCCGGCAAATAAAATAAAAATTAATAAAAAGACCTTAAATATACCTTAAAGTGTGGGGAATAGATCAAGACGTAAACGACGTCATAATGATTTTGGATTGTGAGTTTGTATGACTTTGTGAAGTGAAAGGATGAATGCTTATTGGTGGCCTGAAGAAACGTTTAGAGATGGGCTGACATGACAGAAAGACTATAAGGTCTCTGATAAGCGATATAACTGGGAAAGTGTCTTGCCACTGGTATTTCATATTATATAATAAAGCATGTGCGTATACTCACCAGGTTTAACTTGTTCAAGGTTTCGGCGATCTCTGAAACTTCAGCGGTCATCTGGCATTTCTCAGGTGCTCTTTCCTTATACACACTAAACATCTTTCAGCATTTTACGCAAATTCCTTTAGAAAAAACATAGTCAAACTCCCGTCAAAACTCCGAAATTACCGAAAGGCGCGTATTTTTTAAACACAAACGTCTGAAGTTTTGTCGACCCACAGAATAAAATAACAATCGAAAGTTGACTGCGCGATAAGAGGTGAGAAGAAGGGGGGGGGGGAAGTAGCGTTGTGATTAGACTATCCTTTTTTTTTGTTTATTGTTTATATCTTTCTCAAGTGGCTTTTTGCGAAACGAAATAGAAATGTTTTAAACAAAGTAAATTAACCCCTACTAACCGAATTCCAGGTGCGTACTGTAAGTTACAAACCGTGAAACGAGGTTAGTAAGATATTCATTATGTCTCTGAGGTCAATCGGGCGCGCGGGAATGGAAACTAGTTAAAGTTTAGTGGGCCGCGCAAAATTGACCAATCACACCCCGCGTACGAACTGAGAGATACTGATAAAAAATAGGAATTCACTGTATACATGTGGGTAGTGCTGTGCACGCGCTGCGGACCTGTTTGTTTACGGACACCGGCACTCACTCACTCACTCACTCACTCACATACCTGGCGACAAAGTGGGTAGGGCACTATACAGCGCACACACTAATAAAAGCGCAATCCATAAAAAAATGAGAGGCATGAAATAAAGGTTGTTATAAAAAAATTGGATTGGACAACTGAATGAAGAGATAAGTAACGAAATGTCCCTCATCAACCTTACTTATTTCTCTCCGTCGTTTAAACAAATGATTCTTTCATATAATCTCAAGTCATCAGAATGAATAGACTAAAAATAATTCATTGGAGACAGTTTCTGTTTGGTAGAACATCAAGTAGTTGGTTGCTTACCTGAGCCCACAGGGACGAGCTGTTTTGAAAGCTCAAATATCTTCATGGATTGGAATAAATTTATTCCTTTTTCCAGTGCGGGTGCCTTCCTCAGCTCCTTGCAGTGACCAGAAACAACTTCCGGGATGGTGCAAAGATTACCTGTCCTTCGCCAACCTAAAACTAACTTGGCACGATGAACCGGACAGATAGTCATATCCGATAAATTCGCCGGCTTTTGAAAACATCCACATCTCGCCAAAATTAATTCTACTTCCGTTTCAATTCCGGAAAATTTCAACGACTTTTTGTGATTTTTGATATCCCTGTTACACCGCGTGAGAGGCGTGACGGAAGTTGAAGAACTTGTGCGTTCGACTGCGCCGCAAATCCCACCAACAATATTCAAGAACGAGCAAGACATCGCTGTTCTATGAAGTTCCCCGACAATAAACTCTGGTTTTAGATGCAATGTTTCACAGATAAAGATAATTCGATTTATTTATTTAAAGAACGATGCAATTTTCGTGAGAACAGGTACTTCTGATTGGCTATCGACGGCATAAAGCTTCTCATTCTTAATAAAATCAATTCTTATCGTTTCAGTTTGAATTGCTATTATGATATTTTCTTTTATTTTTACTTCAGCAAGTTAACTGGGGAACCTGGCACATCGTTGAGTAAGATATTTTAAAATAAGACTTATTGTAAATTAACAGATGTAAAGATCTGTTTGTTATTGTACTAATTGTAGCGAAGTCGCTCGTGCGTGACGCAGATTAGGGAGCGAGCCTGTGAGATTTAATTTCAGCTCGTGGTAATTTTGGTGTTTCATAGTTTGTTTTACCTGTGTAGACAATATTTAACATCAATATATATTTTTAAAAGGTTCAAACCGCTAAGAAAGTAAAACCCTCATGTTTTATGTACAAACTTTGGCCGAGGAGTTAATTTATTCAATAGTGCATTGTTATGTAGAGTTGTAGATTTCAAAGGCGCTTAATTGGAATTTTATCGAATTTTGATCGGCGTTCATGCAAAAGTGCTACTAGATCCTAAAGATTTAAAACCGTAGACCTAAAGATCAATGACTGAACTGTCTTTGGTTATAATATCAGAGGATTTGAAGAACTACCGGTCAGCTTTTTTCGTCGCTGAGTTTGGATTATTTTACACCTTCGCATAAATGAGAAAAGTGTGTCTTCTTAATCGGGCCTCAGTTCGCTCACAAATAAGCAGAGATAAAAATAATTCCCATGGTTTGACTAAGGAAGAATCAATGTATTCAATTATACTTAAGAAAGATTCACAGCTATGTAAACGTCTGTGTAGCGAGAAGCTGAAAAGTGTAAAATTTCGAGTTTCCGCCAGGTGAAATCCGAGCTTCCGGTAGGGTGACCGTTTTTCGTGGTTTTCTGCCGTTATATGGAATATTTCAAAAAACTAACCTCATATCCTTCAGTTACTTACCTAGGCCTTCAAACTGACAAAGTATGAGCGAAATCGACTTTTTGACCGTGGCCACGATTTCTTTGATTTTTACTGACAATCACTCTTAAACGCTCTCACGGCTGGTTTTCACATCAGAACGTAAACAATCGAAGCGATTCATAATAGTGTTCGATTTGCGCCTAAACTTGAGTTTGTTTTTGCTCAACGATACTAAAAATAATTTCATGACGAAAACTGGCAAGTTAAAGGAGAGGAGCGATTGTAAATACCGAGTTAAAGGCGAGGAGCGATTGTAAATCCCGAGGTGTTTTGGGTCTCACTTCGTGAGATTTCTCACGAAGTAATTTCCAAAATAGTCACGGAATCACTTACAAAAGCATGCTTGTTCTTGCGTTACTCTATTTAGTAACACCCCTAAAATAAAGCGAAGCCGAGTGAAGGCCACTGTAGCCTCTTGTTTCAAGCCTAAACTCGCTTGTCTTTCAAAACTTTATGGAAGGAAGGAGATACTAAACTTGGTTCAAAGACTCGCTGTATCGTCTTGGAGCCAAGTTTAGTCAAAAGGACATAACGCGGGCGTTTTGCACTTTCTTTTGTGACGTCGCTCAGATTCAAATCGCACTACTTCGTTAAATCTATCAATTAGAATATTCGCAAAACACACTTTAAACTCGTATATTCTTTACCGATGACTGGCGAAGGTTATAGCATGTAATTTATAAAATGGAACTTGTCCTTTCGAAGCGAATTTGGATGTTGCGTGACAACCAAAGGTTTCTAGCCCTCTTTTAGATCAGCGTTACTTACCAATAGAATGAAAGCACTAAACTATTTTTAAAAAATTATGGAAAATCGCAACAGCTGACCTAGTACCGTTTTTTTGAGGTGCCCTCCTCCTCTTGGACGATAACAAGTAATCTGTTTCCAACAACATTAGTAAACGGTACCTACTAAAAAATATTTAGGTTGTGAAAGTCCCTCTCTTAAGACGTGTCTTTACCTTTTCAGCAACCTATTATTTTTGCCTCTTTTGAGTTTACACTTCGGATGATGCCTCTATTCCTTTAATAAAGCAATTTAATTATTTTCTCCTCTAAGGCTACTTTCGTGTGGTCTTTGAAGCTATCTAAATTTTTTTACGTCATTATTTTGACATAATGTAGTTTAAAACGCTCTGGACATATTTCTGCACCGTTAGCATAATCCACGTTCACTTGATAAACCGCTCCACCTCTGGGTCTCGTTCAAAAAGTTTCTTAGGCGACAAACGAGTAGGAGGCTCGTTAGCCGCATCCAAAATTCTCTTCACTCCCTTGCCTCAGAAGGAAAAGACAACAGCCTGGTCTCTACGTGTCCGCTCCTGTCTCTTTCAATAACGACTACTTTAAAGGGCCTTCAGATTGGGAAAGTCCCCTTGGCAACTTACCTTGCTTGCAATTAATGTTTGTATTGCTCCAGTCAATGGAAATCAAAAAAATTGTCGTAAGTGATTTTTTATACGTCATTGTTTGAACTTATGTAAGTAAAAACACCTCTAGGCGTACTTCCGCAACGTAAGCATAATCGTTTTCAACGATAAACGACCTGACTCCCTCTCTTAAGACTTTCCTTAGCTTTTCTAGTGCTCCTATTGTTTTTTCCTCCTGTGATTGACGTTTCGACTCGGCGCACCTCTGGACAAAGGATATTGGAAATTTTCGTGACTAAGGCCATACTTGTATATTTGCCATGGTTTTCGGAATTTATCTACATTTTTCTTTACATCATTGTTTGAACGCTGAAAGTAGTTTAAAATAACTTTGGACACTTCTGCAAAGCAAGCGTAGTCGGCGACGATCACAGACAGATCAACTTCTGGTTCTCTTTCGTAAAATGGAGTCTGAGGCAATAAATAAGAAAACGACTCATAAGTCGTGCCCAGGGTCTCCCTGTTTCTCATAGAGGGAGAGGACACGGCCCAGTCTTTGCGTGCCCACTTCTGTCTCTTTGTCCGCTCAAAAGTGGCTCCAATAGGGTCCAAGCTAGGCTTTACCTTTCTTGGAACTCTGCAAGACTAAGATGGGACGATGATTCATTAACTCTCTAACTCCCAGATCAAATTTGTAATTCTCCTTACAGTCAACCATACAATTCTTATAATGTTACTTCAGAGAATTTAGTATTGGATCAACTTACTATCCCCAAATTGATGTTTTTCTTTATTCTCATCACTTATCTGGTTGATATTGTATTGACATTGTAAGGAGAAATTCTGTCTTAGTCACTCCCATGAGTGACCAAGACAGAAAGGGAAGGGTTAACTTAGACAACTTATACCACGGTGCGCAGGAACAAGTAGCCTGGCAGCAAGGACAATTTGGCGTTACATCGTTTTCAATTTGAAGCAGTTAACATGGAGATAAATACGAAATGCAGGCGATGATCTTTTTAAACAATTGATTTTCTCATGTATTAGCCGTTTGTGAAAGAAATCCACTTATTTAGCGATTCAATTTCAAATAAGGTTGTTTGTAAAAGGAGCAATCGTACCATGGCTAAGAAATTTATTTTACCATCATTTGGCACCGGGGAAAATAAGATCTTGTGTACCATAAAACAACGAATTTTATTATAGTAGTTTATATTACCTACCAAATCAACAGCAAGCAGATTTATATTTGATTTAATAGTTATAATATAAATCAGCCGATCAGAGGTTAATGACAATTTCCTGCTATGATGTTTGGTCGCAATTAGTGTTAAAATGCCTTCCTTGCTTTAAATTTGCTAAGGTATCAATAATTGCAGAGTAAGCAGTCGAAAAGTTTCTAGTGCCATTGTCATTACAAAAACAGTAACAGCATTAATGAAACACGATCACCTAACTAATTCTAGCCTGCGTTGCTGGCGGTCTACGATTTTCTCTCTGCCCCCAAAACCGCAGACCGCCAGCAACGCAGGCTAAACCTATTCTCAGTAACCCTTTTGTAATGTTTCAATGGTCACCTCTAAGGTTGTTACGCGCTCGTCCTTCTACATTTGAGTTTATCGGTTTTCTTTTCTACGGAGAAGATTCTTTATAAACTCTATTGTCTTCCTAAACAATTTCGCATAAATGTTTCCAAAACTGGATAGGCTACCTCTCACTCCAGCGTTCACGCCAGGTTCACAGTTGTGTAACGCTTCTTGTATCATTTCTTTAAGCAGTTCTTGTGAAGAGGACTCATCCATTGGGAGAGGCACTGGATTACCCATGCGCACAGCCTCGTCATAAGAAGGAGGAAGAGAATACACCTTCTCGCAATGGTAAGCTCTTTTTTCATCTCCAGGGCCCTGGACGTTCATTTTTCGCATCTGGGCCCGACATTGTTCTCCAACTTCAGCCGAAACTAACGCCGATCCTCTTCGAAGAATCGACGTGCTTCCATATTTGTCGTCCACCAAAGTATCACTGTTGCTTATGGTCGCAGATTTCATTTGTTTTGTTTTTATTCTTTCAAGTATTTTTCGATAATATTTTCCTTCGGACGTTGATATCAATGGCGAGCTCTTTTCCAAGCTCCCTAGAACGACAAACGTTTCCTCATCAGAGCATTCATCGTATCGTTCACCTTCACCACGGGGTTCATCCGATAAATGTCCACCAAAAGAGATAATAAAGCGATCGATGTTTGCAAGAAGGAAAGCAGCTTTTGCATTTCTGTTGATACGTTTGAATGCCTCAATCCAAAACACTGTCAGCCAGTTATCTCTGTCTGGGAGTGCTGGCTTCATCCATTCTCCAGCTGGTACGAACGGTAAATCATTTAGGGCTTTCTCGTCAACTCCTTCTTTGTCAAGCACTTTGCAAATCTTGTTGCGAAAAAGAAGCATTCGTTGTTGAAAGAAATCTTTCTCGGTGACTTTGTCCTTTGAAGGTTGAACTCTGTTCGCAAAGGTCAATACCACCAGAGCATGATCCCACAAACTTCTACCAAACGTCGTTGTGACCTTTTTAATTGTCCTAGCGTCGTCGTCACGAAATCTGGTGGAGGTCACATCGAAGCAGAACAGGAAAAGATCGACAGCTGTAATTTTTTTCTTGATTTGCTCAAGGTACTTTTCGTCGTTACCGGTGTCATCCGCCAATCCGGGAGTATCGAAGACAGTTATCTTCACATTGTTCTTAAAAAAATCGTACGGTGTCACCTGGAAATAAAAATCAAAATTATCTTACAACATAACACATGTTTAATTCAGAAAGTATTGCTAAGTTCAATTTAGCACCGACCAACACCTCTGTTTCATTGCATGCTGCAGTGTTGGTTTTTTTTTTTTTAAGGGAAGAAAATGCATCGACAATACGCAAAGACGACAAGGCCACGTTGGTGAGAGGAAACTGATGTTATTATATAAGATCAGAGATGGTTTAAGAATGAAAGCACTGAAAAAAAATTTGATAGAACAAATCTAAAAATGTCATTAAGTGGCAAGTTTGACTATATAGTAGGTTATGCTGATAACCGTCTGGAAAATGACTCACGTCATCGGTTTGTGGATCGAGTTCCTCTCCTTCTTCAGCAAGCTCCTGTCCTATCAGCGCATTTGTCAAGTGAGATTTTCCAACTCCTGTCTTACCACTCAAAAGGAAGGTTAGCTCACGGCCGCCAGACAAAATGAATTCACGAAGGTAATGCTCGAGGTCAGCCGAGCAGCAGAGTAAATCACTCAGCTGGGCTGCGCTGGTGTCCATAGATTTATTGCTTGCTCCTTTCCTTGCCATTCATGGGGTGTCTGTTCCAGAGTTTGTAGAAAAAGTAGAAACGACAATTATTCAATTTCATACTTCTGTTTTAGTTAATTTTTAAACCTGAAACTTGACTTAGAATATTTGTCACACAAACATGAACCATGGCCGTTGTTTGTTTTGTAGGCTAGACTTAATATCTAACAACTTACAAATCGCACCTCCTAATAAAATATACCTTTGAACTTTCTAGACTAAGAAAATGCGTCTTCATTTAGAATTTGTTGGGTCTATTTGCACTGACGAAGAACTGACGCTCACGTAAAAACGGCAGCTTTAGAAACTCTTTTTGGTGGCCAATTACATTATTAACTCAGTTGATAAACCGAATTAAATCGTCTTGTGCCGTACCCTTATGCTACTTTACACCGAAACAGCGCCACAGTTTTTTAAGAATCTTGGCCCTTTTACCCATTAACAAGTGATCTGGAAAAACGAAAAATTGACCATGGAAACCGTCTTTTTGAAAACGTACACATGTTACGGAAATAAAAAATGTTAAAACATTAACCGGAAGCCGATATGCCTCCGCTGCCACTAAAAGACATGAGGTCAACTAATTTATACAGAATTCATACCGGTAGCAACAACCGTTTTATTTCCATAAAACTGATATAAATCAAACATCTTTTCAGTCTATTTCATTTGATCTTTAATGCTTACGCAAATAAATTAAATACGCACCAAAGTAATAATTGGACCACACTGCAGTTTACATAAATGGTGACATTTTTCCAACTTCCATTTTCTCGGAAAGAGTAGCCATTCAAGCGATTCTTAGAAAGATTTAAATTAGTAACTTCTAAAACGTTTGTATTTCGGCAGTTGTTTGGTTTACTTCCTTGGTATCATTAAATTGTGCGAGCCCTTAATGTAATTTTAAAGGGAAATTTAAATTGGTCTTGTCTGAAACAGGCTCTCGAGTTCGCATTTATTTTAGACGGCTCCAACCGGTTTCTGGAGCGTCACATACATATGAAGTAAACAATAACATTACCCAGAAATTTCTTTCAACATCCCTGGATTACTAGCTAAGTTCAGTTGAATTTTGGCCAATAGAAAACATTTAAAATGTGTGCTCAAAAAAGGAATCATGTTTGTCAAAGTAATGTCTATGGAAGAACATGGATATTGTAGAAAACGATTCTCATACCACAATCGTCATGAATCTTGTTACGGTATTTGTCGCGCACTCTTCCGTGAAGAGCAGTACACGAGGATGTCGTTGCGAAGAAAAGCCTCACTCACTGACTATCCTTCAACAGTCTTATATTTACAGCAGTGACTCGATGTACGACAGGTTAATTCTTTCAGTAAAAGAGTCTCCAAACAAAGAGGGTCAATTCTAGGCACAGGTGGCGGCTCTTGAAAACATATGAAACGACTGACTCCACAAAACGGCTGCAGTTCGGCGTGTCAGCGGTTACGATGATGGTAAAGCAGGTAGAGTTGGCGGAAAACAAAAGAAATCCTTGCCCGAATGGCGGAAGCAGAAAGTACGAGAGGACCCTGGAGCAAGTGAATGCGTTTAAGAACAATGGAACTTAATCATTAACTTTTGAAAATGATTGAAATTACTTTGTATTCACCATTACCTCTTTGAGATGCCCATTGACAGGAACTAAGAAGCGAGTAAGACAATTTCTTCCTTTTGGGCGTGCCTTACTCTCCGAGTTCGCTTTGCGTTTGCCACTTCCTCCTCAAATATGCAGAACAGAAGACTAAAACCCGAGAGTCTGTTTAAACAACTTAAGAGGCCCGACGATTAATTATCATCAATATTATAACCCCGAAAGGCATTGTGGATAGTTTTCAGGTCGCGGTTCCTTGACCTCAGGATTTTAGGGAAATATGAGAAAATGTCACTGTGAGGACGAGGCATCGAGGGTTTGATAAATAACCACGTTTGACTTATTAAAATCATTGACTACCGAATACCCAGACTAATTTTTGAGACTGCCGTGTGCACTTTTTTTCCGACAACCTTTTTTAAAAACAGAGGTATAATTGCCTTTATACGGCTAGGAAAGGTAAAATGCTTCCATTCCTTTTTTTGCTACGTTACACGGGTACAGATTGACCTCCAGCAGAACGGAACTAGATCAAAGCGAAAAACAGTTCAAGGGCATTGAAAAGACAGTAATTTAAAAATGCTCTGACGCTCTGCAAGTATAACTGAAACTTCCATTTAACTGAACCAAGGCTGAAGTTAGCTTAGGGATAGCGCTATTATTTAATTTAACCTTTGAACAAAAGTGACCGAAGAGTTTTTCGTTCGATACTTTGTCGGTCTGCTTATCAAAGGCGGGAAATTCATTTGAATTTTAAATGATTTCTAAATTAATATTCATATTTTATATCAGTCTTGCACGTGGAAAGAGTTCACAAACGAGAAAGACCTTACGAAGATTCATCGTCTTTATGGTGCTACTCAGGGGCCAGGAAACAAAGCAGTTTTAAACTAGTGCTTCATAACAGCAGTTCTGTAAAGACCAGCGTATGGTTCTTTGAGTTTGCTGAATTGAGTGGATCAAGTTGGCCGCCATGAGGATTTGATGAACGTCTTTCTCAAGGTAAATAACCTACGTTTAGATACATATTTGATGATAAAAGTACAGTCTTTGTGTTTCTTGGCGAAAGTATAAATCAAATTTCGGGGTTCTATTTGAAAAGGAAGAGCCAGTTACTCACATTACGATGCTGGACAAAACCTAAATGGCAACCGCCATGACAGTTCCACGTGACCTATAGGGCAACAACAAGAACGTCGTATTTTATTACAATTATTGATCAGTGTTTTATTCAGGTTTTTTTAAAATTTTTTTTATTTAAATTTTTACTTGTTTCATACTTTACATAGTCAATTATGCTTCTTATGTTTTAAAATTAACTTTGCTTTAAACGCGTTTTCCCTTATGCTTAACCTCCGCCAAAGGAAAAAAGGGTCAAACATTTTGACGCGGAACTGTCTTTTTGGTAGCCAGAGTCTTTGTTCTCATTGTATCGTTTTCTGTCTTTCAGCGTCTGGCAAAGGATGAAGAAAAATGTGATAATAAAGAAATCCTCTGGAGGAAAGAAAAAAGGATTGCATTAAACAGGTTGGTAAATATTAGTGTTTCAACAAATTAGTTTACCTGAACTCGTAAGCCTGGTAGGAGTTTATCACTCGTACCTGATTTGGCGAATGTTTACGAAATTACTTGAACAAAAAGTGGAGCAAGTAGTGTTTCGTTCTCAGCAGTGTTCTTAATCAATAACAATAAAAATTATTTTTCTGTAGATGGGTATGCACGTATTCACAGTTTTTTCTCTCGCTTTAGTACAACGTCAAGCAGAGATTGATAACATTTCAAAATGGAAAGGAAATCAGGAAAACTTCCAACAAGGTCAGTTATTTATTGTTATTATCATTATTAGGTTGGATTTGGATTTGTAATGAAGCTATGAATATCAAATTTTATTAACTTCTGTGACGGGTTTGTTATCTGCGCTTTGATATAGATGTAGTCCGTTAGAAAACTCAAACCTGGATTGAACAATGGAGAAAAAAAAACACTCAAAAATAACAAAGTCAAAAATTGATTGCATAGCAATGATTTCAAAGAAATTTCTAGTCATCACCTAACATGCCATGACCATCTAGAATTCTTCCTTAGATCTCTAACAAATTTTAATACTCTGATAGTTTTGCACCTTTTTTTATTTCAAACTTGGACCTTTTCATTTCATGCTTCGAGCCTGATTTTCAGTTTCTTTCTTCTTTAGGTAAAAAAACAGCTCGCTCAGTAAACTGATATTACTCAGACTTTTTCTGGAAATTATTTAAATTTTGATAAGGCCAATGATTTTATAACTTTCTTAGGCTCAGACCTTTTCAACTTTATTGATGAAACTTTGAAGCTTAATTGTAAAATTTTTAAAACTCTTGAGGCCGGTCAAACCAAATTCAACGTGCTCCAAACATTGACATTTCCAGAAAGTTTATTCAGATTTCTTTTTCCTTTTCAGTGTTCTGTGAAGGTTATTGCTCTGGTAATTTTATACCAGGAGTTTTCATCTACAAAATTGGAAGTTTTTTTTACCTATTTCAATAAAAACCTCGGATCCTTATTCTCAAGCATTGTAGAAACTGACTAAGGTTGCAACAAAATTCAGTGTGCTGCAGAAATTGATCTTTTTCAATTTTTTGTCGAGAACTCTTTTTAGAATGATAAGGTGCAAACTATTGAACCTGTTCTAATAATTTTGTATAATTATTTCGCATTCATAATATAAGAGCTTAGAAATGTCTGAATATCTAACTTTCGGCGTCTTCTGTTACAAAATTAGAACTTTTTCTCGTAATTCAAAAAGAACTCTAAATCTTTATTTTTATGTCTTGAGCCAAAGTATTTAATAAACCAAATTCAATATGGATATTAATGTCCTAAGATCCTCGATGTTATGGCGTTAGTAGGTCAACAAACGTTGTTCCTAAATGATGTTTGTTAACGCAAGATTTTTCTGTACGTTCTGATTAATAATTTCTTTTTGAAGTCAGTCGCTGAAGTCATTAATTCATTAGTGTCTCATAAGAAATTCAGTACAGCTGTTTTAAGAAAGGTTGTTGGAAAAAGGCCAACTGCACGCGACAACCCCGAAAGGCATTGTGGATAGTTTTCAGGTCGCTCTTCACTGTGAAGAAGAGGCCCAGTCATAGCGAGTTTGATGAATTTATTTTGTTCACAAGACTGACTTTTAATTCTAGAATTGATGAAAAACGAAAAGAAGAACGAACTGACCCCAATGAAGTATACTCAGCGAGAGCAAATTCGAAGTGACCTGAAGAAATAAACTGTTTACAATGTAATATTATTTGGTTTGTTCTCTCGTATTCACGTGCATATCGGCATTTATCCCCCGTTCATTAGTCCTTTTGTCCATATTTACAATTTATTAAAATTCATTGATTGCTATATACCTAGATCACCTTTCGAGATTGTCGCGTGCAGTTTGTCCTATTTCCGACAACCTTTCTGCAAACAGCTGTGCACTCTAAACACTTACAAATTGCACCTTTTTCGTGGTATTGGTCTTTTCGTATTAGCTATAAATTATGAACCATTGTGCTTAGTTCAATAAACACTGATAGGCCTAATTCTCATGCCTTTGCTTAAGTGGATAAAACTCAACTCAGTGTAATGATATGGTGCCCTTTTTTTTCTTCCAAATTAGAACTCTGCTACTAATTCATTAATACGATGAAGGGTGATTGTTAAATGTACCAACTCTCGAGGCTTAAATACTGATAAAATAAAATTTCTCAATTATCTTCACATTAATTATTGTAAGATAAATTGAGTGAAAATTTTATAACTTAATTTTTGGTCTCGTGAGCTTTCCTTCGGGCTAAAACCAACTTTGGTCTGCTTCACAAATTGCCTATAATTCTTTCTAGATGTCTAAAGTTGTGAAAATGTTTTTTTTTTCCAAGATTCGGACTTTTTTTAATTTTCTTCATTACGAGGTGACTCGTAAATGCTCTGATATTTTGTGATAGGCGTTTATTCTTTCTAAAACTGTTCACAGAATTCATTTTCAAAGGTTTTCTTGATAAAAGAAACACGGAGTGTAATAAGAACGTGTGTCTATGACCACCATCAAACCATTTGCCTAGCCTTAGATCTAGTAAAAATTCTACTTCGGTGCACAAATGGATTAGGTATTTCTTTTTAAATTTTGGTAATTCATTTTAGGCGTTTCGCCCTTCTTTCCTGTGTAAGATTTGAAAAATCAATCATTCAAAAATGTCCATGCTCAAAGGAGGAAATCAAAATTAGGAACTGTTGTGCTTATTCACCAAAGCTCAGAAATTATAAACTGCATCATCCCTCCTCGATACAAATTCTTAGGAACCCAATATTATCATCTTCTTGCCTAGTAGTGGAATGACTATCACTAATTAATATGGTTTTGTATAAAAAAAACCAATTCATTCAAAGATGAGCCCCCCCTCCAAGGAACAAGTTCAAAAAAACCTCTCTACCACCGAAATGTCTCAGCTAAAAGCTTTGATAGAATACGTTTCACGAAAAGGAAATTGCTGGTGGTATAACTATCAATAATTAATGTGGTTTAACATAAAAAAAGAATTGTCAATTGGTTCAAAGATGCGCTACCCAAGTAACAAGTTCAACCAAGGCTAGGATAGGTCTCAGCTAAAAGCTTTGATAAAATGCATTTTACTAAAGGAAAGTTTCCAGAGAACAAATTTTAAAAAACAATGGTCCCCAGTCCAGTGATTTGCAGTTTTTCGTGGCAGAGAAACGTCTCTCAGGAACTCTTTTGTTTTTTTCTCGTTATTCAAATATATCATCTACCAGTTTTTTTTACGCACTAGGATTTATATCTATGTATTG